CGACACATTTAATCGTTAAATGTCTTTATTAAATTCAATATTACGAAAACAACATCGACGAAAAACTATTACCACGCTTCCATATAATCCAAACGAAATCCTCGACATCCGGGGGAAGCATTAAGTAAGTAAGCAAACGTATTTCGAGACCGGCACTCGCGCGCGATGAGACAAAAGAGGAGGAGGCAGAACAAAACATTTCGTAGGAGGGTTGGACCGCGAGTACAGATTAAACTTCGTTCTTGAAAAAGTTCCGGGAGGAAAATGCGTTCTCGGGTTTCTTGCCGCGGCGGTCCCACCCCAAGTCGCGACGACCGGCCGACTCGAGTTCCCCGGGAAGGATATCGGGAAGGGAAACGCGCGTGGCGTATCGCGTCGAGGGTGAGTCCATTAGTCCGCGGCTGAAACGTGCCGCATCTGGCTTAAGGAATTCCAGTTTTAAACGGTTCCCCGTTCGTCCGTGCGCGCTCTTTAATGGACACCCGGCTTAAAAGGCAGGCCTTCCCTAAAATGCGCACCGGTGACGGAGCGTTGTGACTAGGACAGGGGGCGGGCGCTGGCGAGACGAGGCGAGGCAGAGGGAGGCGAAGGGAGGCGAGAGCTTGCGAAAAATGCTGGATAATGGCGGCGACCGTGACGAAAAAAGGACCAGACAGGTGCCGTGAAAACAAGACACCAACCGCCGACCAACGTTTACGAACTACTGCTCCCCTTTACGAGGTTGCCTCCCCTTTAGCAGGGTCGATTAACTTCCTGTCGTCATCCTGCCGCGACGACTTTGCACATCATCCTTCGAGTGCTTCACTTACTTCCGTGTGTATGAGGTTTTCAGACGTTTCGGGTTCGTGTTATTAGGTTAATGGAAAATGAAGATTTATCTTCGATGCTGTAACCTCGTGGAATACTGCGATGATCTCTGACGTGCGGGAACGTGATTTTTAGGTGTTCATGATAACAGCCTCGTGGATATCGATACACTTTTTGAACAGTATTCAAGCTTCGTTCCAGTTGTCCGATCGTATGCCAGTTTTGTTCCACGTGTTTCGGTATACATTACTCCGTTCACTCGCCTAAACATGCATGAGTCTTATTCCACTTGTCTGATCGTGTATCTGATTTCACTGGTCTGACTGGGCGCTTCGAGTCGGTTGTCTGACCATTGCGGGACTCGTTCCACTAGCCTCGTGTATCTTGTTTTATTTATTCAATTGTTTACGGTTTGGAATGTTTCACTTGTTTCACTTGTGGACCTCGTTTCATTTGTCTGATCGCATATTGTCTCAGTTTCCTTGGGTTCATTATCAAGATAGTATTAACCATTTGGATGCTAAACTTTTGTGGATATCTACCAAAAATGCGGAAGTGACTGGGTGTGTATGCGAAAAATTAATAAGAGTTCTTATCTACTGAGATCACGAATATTGTGTTATTACAAAAAAATATCAAGAAATAACATTTATTCAAATAAAGTTACTTTGATTTATTTGTTGAAAAACATAGTAAGAAAATTATAATTGATACTGATAAACAGAAGCGCCTCAGCGCTCTTCACAATTTTCTCCTCAATACTCAAACGGTTAACACTACTAAAAGAATTAATGCTCGTTTAGTTAGATTGTGGAAACTGGAGATTTGATAGGGTACATGTCAGTGTGATCTCATCAATTAAAATTGGCGTAAACATTTACAAAATAATATTTCTAAAATCCAATATGCGTCAATTTGACGCGTTCCGTTCTAGTGTTAATAAAATTAAATCTCGATACTTCTGATTACCAGTCAACAGCAAAGATATCGTCGCCAACTTCACGCTGCGCGAAGCAACGAACGCGAACGAGGATAAAACACCGGGTCGCGATACGAGCGGCAGTTAATAATCTCAGAACAGGCATCCACCGGCTCATCGGCGCAGTGAATTTTGCGCCAGTTCAGCAGACTGGCTGGCAAATTGCGCGGGGCCGAACTTGCCGAAATTCTTGCCACCGCCGAACTTTCGGCAACAACGGCCCCTGATTCCGACCCGCGAGACAGCGAACACCTAACGAACAATATGTTCATCTCGCGCTGCTCGATTCCGTGTCTTCTCTGTTCCAGCCGCTGGAGCATCTTGCACTTTCATCATTAGCCATCTATTGTTCCAGCCGCTCATCCACATTCGACCCATTTTATGTCTTATGAATCAGCAGCTCTCTAGCGCGCGGATGAAGTGCCGCGGCGAGCCATCGTGTTCACAGCGAGATCGTTAACAGGGGTTGATTACGATCGCTTAGATAATCACGGCGTACGCCGTGCCACCGACAAAGCAAGAGCCTCAGACTGTCTTCGCGTTCGTCGTGGACACTTCAATCTCCGCGTCACAGATCTTTATGTAATCTTTACGATGTTCTAAATAATTCAAGAGAAGATCGTGCAACTAAACGAGAAGTTAATTTCATTACTACGATAATTACATTCTTCGGATCAATCCCTATATTAACCAATTAATCAGTCCCCAAATTCTCATCGTTCCTCTTACTTCCGTTTCTAAGAAAACTGTATCACTCAATTCTCCTTTATTTCCTACGTGTATAACCAGTTAACTGTATTTGACGAGTATACACGTCATCTTAAAAAATAAATAATCCATCGGTGAAAAAGTTAGCACTATTAAAAAATAAATAATCCATCGTTGAAAAAGTTAGCACTATTAAGAGTTTTGAGACAAACGTGCAATTCTTCGTTTCGCTTTAGTTTTTCGTTAGGACATACGTTAAGTGCATTTGGCCTGCGCAAGGAGAAATTTTTAAATTCCACACTTAGCTGGTTAACTATCACAGAACAGTCACATCCCGGTACATTCAGTAAAAGCACCCCACAGATCTTCCCCGAAATATTCCCTCGGCACAGAAAAGTTGCCGATAATCAATAACCCGAAACCGATCTCCGCCGAAGAAACGAACGAACGAACGGACAATCCGTGGAAATAAGAAACCAGGGCAAACACGGGCCACCGGCGAAACAATTAAACGCGAACAATGTCCCGGCTTCCCCACGCGTAGGCGCTGAGCAATGAATACGATATAGCGGTCGCGGTGCGCGTAATTAGGTTATAACCTATTTACGACAATAGGCGTGGGAGTAACGCACGAAAGCAACCGGCCATTCGGAATCAGCTCGTATTTCGACGGTGGCCGACGGACGTGGCCGGTGGATTTTGTTTACGACTCGGAGGCCACTTGGCCGGCGCGGGAACAACCGGACTTCGACCGGGCCCCGGCGTGCGCGCGGACGTTTCGGCCATTAGCATTTCGGCCGTTCATGATTTATTCATGAAGAAGCCGGCGCGCCCGCCGCGATTCGCGGCCGCCGGAGAACGCGCAACAATGCATTATGATTTACTATGCAAAAGGTATGCGCGAGATCGTTATATAAACGTTCCCTGTTTGAGTAGACGCGCGAACCGTTCCCGGGG